TCGAATGCAATTCTTTGAATGTCTTGATAGCGATTCAGAACAATCTTACGATTTTGATAGAGCAGATGGAGCATTTTTTTCCTGACTTCATGGTCATAGTAACTCAAAATGGCCAATGATTTCAGATAAAGCTTTTAAATTCTGAGGTAGCAAAGTGTCTTTTGGCACATATCGCTACCCCAGAATTACAAAGTTCTATTTGCACAGTATCTAGTTTTGAGGAATTTGACGAAAAACATTTTGAGTTCCACGAAATGTTACGTTTTTCAAATGCACTTCTTTAAATATCTTGTTGAAAACTCCGAATAATTTTACGATTTTGATAGCGCAGAAGAACTTCTGTAACTTTTGTTACAGTAGAGATTTTACGGCGCTTGCAACTGCATAAGGTCATATGAGCTCCAAGGGGAGGATGTCAACTGAGAAGTCTTTACAGGGAATCGAGCTTACTCTGTTCATCTCTCTAGCTTCAACAGCACACAGTCTGCTTCGACTTTCAAGGCACCCTGGAAATAGCGGGTTACAAGAGTGTGACAAACATACAAAAGAAGTAGAGGAAAATGACGATAGTAAGTTCCCTGTTGTAGTCCAGGCACAGTTATGAGCGTGACTTTGTTGAATCAGCCCATTTACTATTCTACTGTGCATGAGAATGAGAAAAGTGCCCCCTTTGGGAATGGCCGAAAAACACTTCAGTCAGTGGCACCGCCCGGGGGGGGGGGGGGGGGGGGGGCATCAGACTTCTGAAGTCATGGTCTTAGTAACTCAAAATGGCTAAAAATGTCAGGTGGGGTAGAACTTTGCAGGGGAGAGGGGGGCATGTCAGTTTTGTAAAGAAAAAGGATCCGTTGTATCAACAAACATGATCGAATACAAAAGATAGAAAAAGGCCTTCACCCTCAAAGGACACGCGTAGGACAGCGTATATTCCACATCTCGACCCCAACAACTATCATGTGACATACCTGAGACACTTTGAAAACAACGCAATACTTCCTTTACTGCTACATACAAATGAAATAAATTAAAACAAACTGTTCTTAAAAAGATAAATCTTTTATTGATACAATTAATAAAACTTGAATTACAAAGACAAGTAAAAATGCATACGTATGAAAATTCACAGCTTTCATCAACGCCGAACAGGCCTAATAATTATCATACTATTATACAAGTGCAGAAAAATAATCTTACACATGTGTTTACAGGTCACCACCGTAGAACACCTTTTTAAAGAGTTGGTATAGAGGTGTATACAGCTTTGCTCAAGGCTGCTTTGTCACCGACACTGGCTGGCATGATCTGAGAGTCTGGTAACAATAAGCACTCGGAATCTGGAGCTGACTCTCCATCCCCCCAACCCCTCGACCTTCCTGGAAAAATAGATTAAAAATACTAATAATAAAAGTCAAAATTAAAACTATGAATAAAACCCACTCTAATACGTATACAGTGCTTCAAACTCCATCAAATCTGTAAGAGTGAAATGAAATTGCTCCTCATAACACAGTCCTAAGTCCACTGAACAAACCCATAACTTACCCAAGGTGCCCGGTGCGCGTTAGGTCGAGAATATTATGGAGAAAAGAAACTGATAAAAAGCTCGAGCGAACAAGCACTGTACTGTCATTGATATATTATTATGTCACGGTATTTTCTGATACACGTAGAGAACGCGAGACACTGAGGGCATGTGAACAAGGCATTACGAGGAATTTTGGCTACCCTAGATTTACAGTGTTCTATCTGCTCCGTACCTAGTTTTGAGAAATCTGAAGTGAAAAATTATGAGTTTCACAACTTGTCAAGCTCTTTTTAATGCAATTGTTTGTGTATATCTTGATAACGACTCCGCATATTCTCACGATTTTGATAAAGCAGATGGAACATTTGGTTTCTGACCTCAAGGTTTTAATAAATCAAAACAGTCAAAAGTGTCAGATAGTACTTCGTAATTCTAAGGTAGCGTTATAGCACCGCTTGATCACGTCGGATATTTCACATTTTGTTTCGCGTGAAGTTTTCTCTCCATCCTGGGCTTACAGTCATTCACACTCAGATTTGTCTAGGCAGTTTACCGAAGGGGAAAAAATGGGGGGGGGGATTAACAGGTAAATTAAATTGACAGCTTGGGGATGGGGAAAGGGAAACGGTGGAGGGGGGGGGGGGGGGGGGCATAAAGAGCCTTGTTTCAACCCCACCTCATCACGTGACCAAACTTGATCCTTATATCTTATTTAAGCTACATTGACAATGATGCTATTCTTGAAGGTTCGCGAATTTTTGTCTGTTCACACTACGTGCGAGTATTGGGACCCACCAGTAGCTCATTTGGCAATATGATGAACTACACTGTGGATATCCCCGGTTTGAATCCCTAGGAAGTACTGTTGGATTTGAGTTGCTGAAACCTATGAATTGCTAACCGTGCTGAGTGAAATTCTACAGCGCGCATGCGTATCAATGGAAAGAGAAATACACGGAGATGGCTTCATCCGCTGAGAAGACCCACGCTGAATAATAACGATATAAACAACGTGAAAGTTCTGTCTTATAGCCATCCTCCCACATGGATCAGTCCTATCGGAGATGGACAATACACTCAGAGATCTAGCCTCTTAAAAAGGCCATGTCGTGTTGAATCGGAATGGTGGAGGGGTGGGGTGGAGGAAGAAGGGGATAGCATCCATACCACCCAGTGTTCAAACCTACAGAGTAATATCCCTTCCTAGCCATGAGGGTTAAACTATGTTTGCCAAGATACTGGAAATGAGAACGAGACCAATTGTAGAGACTCAATTCAGTGAAGCCCAGTTCGGCTTCAGAAAAGGCAGTTGTGTGAGACTGCCATTGCACTTGACAAAGACCTCAACATTGTCTTTGTAGGCCAGGAAAAGGCGTTCGACCGGGTGAACAGATGTAAGCTTTGAGTTCAAGAGGAATTTTGTGTAACCGGACAATTGCTGGAGAATATCATGACACTTTATGAAAACAACCTGTGCGCCGTAAGGCCAACAGGCTAGGGATTATCAGACTGGTTCCCTGTCAGGTCTGGGGTGAGACAAGAGAGTGTTCTTTCTCAGATTCTATTCATCACTTAGATGGATATGATCACGAAAGCAGCAAAGAACAACATTACTGAACTGAACCACAAAAACACACCAAAAGACTAAATGAGGAAAGTAAGCAACTAAACATGAACATCTCGGTTTCAAAAACTGATGTTATGAAGGCCAGCAGAAACCCAGTGAAACTCAAAATCTTTATGGACGGGACAAAACACTAACAAGTAGAAGAATTAAAATATTTGGGAAGCATCTTCACACAAGATGGGAGTATGGACAGAGGGTTAGAAACAAGAACCAAGAAGGCAAATGCCAACTGGCACCCCGGCTCAGTCACAACAACACCCCAATAGAAGTGAAAGCCCTGCTTACCAGGTGTATCTTCATACCAACCCTAACATGCCAGTCCCAAACGTTGTCGCTAAATAAAGCACAAGAAAGAAAAATGATTAGATGCTAAATGAGGTGTCTCTGCGAAACTACTAAATCACCAGACGAGACAGCATAAGGAACAAGACAATACGTCAACTAACCGAAACAAAACCAGTTATGAATTTCATTGAGTGTCAAAGAATCAAATGTTTCGGACAACTAACCAGAACGACCAAGTAAAAACCACCAGCAGGAGCTAATCACACCCGTGAATCTAGTTTCGAATCAAGAAGAAGACCAAGAAAGACCTGGCTGAATGAGGTTAAAAAGGTCCTTGAACAACACACTATCAACCACAGACATCCCACACTTAGCACAGGACCGAAACCTGCATCCCCCCTCGACATCCTAAGTATACAAGAAGAAAGAAAAAGTAAAAGAAAATTAAGTTCAAATCTTTCCTTCTTCGAAGGAAAAGCGATAATTTATTTTACATGTTTACTTAAAAAGGGTTTAGTGTCATGGTGGGCAGAAATGTTCCATCCTGACACTCAATAGAAAACTTTGGACTTGATCCCGTTTTCATTTTCCCAGTACTCATGAAAAACTTGTGAATGCCTCTATCCCTACCATTTATAGCAACAAAAAAAGAAAAGAAAAACAAAACAAAACAAAACAAATCTAAAAACAAAACAAAACAAAAGCCGCCAGAGACGGTGCATATCTCAGATGTACAAAATTCTTCTTTTGGAGCAAAGAGAAGTACCTAGACATAATGACGGTCATCTAAGGATCGGAAAAAAGGAAATACAGACAGACAGACAGATAGAGAGACAGACAGACAGACAGACACACAGACAGACAGAAGCGGTATATCTTTTCATCAAAACTCACCAGAAGGACCTACCAGTTGCGCCCTCGAATCGTTCACAGGAAAAAACCAGAACAACCTCCCTCCCCCCCCAAAAAAAAAATTAAAAAAATTAATGCAAACAAAACAAAATACCCCCATTCTTCTGCCTGATTTAGCTATTTCCAAAATAAAAAACAAAATCAAATATTGAGCAATTTTCCCCCCTGTATTGCTACAGCAACACGAGCAGCATGAGAATCATTCACAAAACCAATCATGTAATGCAAATGGAATATTGTATTTCTACATCTTGTTCTCTGCGTCCTCTGCGTAGAATGTTGTTATCTTGTGTTTCTGAAATTTAAGCCCGTAGCTGACACATTGTTATCATTATGTCAATCCGGTCAGCACCAGACCAGAGGCAATGTTGCAGCACATTTCGACATTTCAAGAACAATCTAAACAAAAAAAACCGTTGCTAATTTCATAGTACGTAACTAATTGTTGCCAATTTTGTTGTTGAGTTTCAGCATAATTGAACACTCTGTATGAAAGACAAAGTTATACTTCTCTCTTCAATGTGACCCCAAATCGAACGTCTTCAAGTCGCTGCCTCAGAATTACAAAGTTCTATCTGACATTTTTAAAAAAAAACTGTTTTGGTTTACTAAGACCATGAGGCCAAGTACCAAATGTATTATCTTCTCTATCAAAATCATAAAATTGTTCGCAACCGTTATCAAGATATTCAGAGAATTGCATTCGAAAAGGAATGACATGATGTAAAGCTAAAAATAATTGACGTCGCATTTCTCAAAGCTAGGTACTGAGCTGATGGAACTTTGTAATTCTAAGGTAGCGGAGTGTTGTCAAATGACCAGAATACGTGTCCTCAATGAGTGTAACTCACAGTCTTCAAAGTTTAATTGTTGAATATACGTCGTCAAATGAAGGTAAAGTCAAAGATATATTCACATTGCGTACATCCGATAAAGAGGTCACCTTTCTATAGCCATATTTCCCCATGGCACCACTACATTCAACTTGTAAATTTAAAGCAAAGGGCAAATCAATCTTCGACCTCCACTTAGTGGCAGTAGTTGACGAGTTTTTCCTTTTCGTTCCAAACTTTTGCTCCCTGAAAGACTCGTTTGTAGGCCCGGTTATTTCTCGCGTTCTGGCCTCGACGTCATCCGACCAGGGGATTCCTGCAAACTCGTACAGTTTTCGCGCCACCGGGATGGGCGACTCTGCCAGGTCCTCATAACGGATAGTCAGAATTCTCCCTGCAGATCCAAAAAAGAGGCCAGAATCAGTTTAAAAAAAATGGGAGTAGATGAAAAAAAATCACCCATTCTTAAAATACAATTTGTGTGTGTGTGGGGGGGGGGGGGGGGGGGGCATACTCAATAAAAAAAAACAACAACAAAAAACAACAACAACAAAAAGCAACAACATTCAAATATTGTGCCCACTTGATTAATATCCATTCCCGTGTTCTTTCCATTTCAAACACAAGTAATGTATTTTTTACATGCGAATTTTATCAACAGTAACTCTGATCTCAGGAAAACTTATTTAACCTACTCTGATATTCAAGTATTCCCATTAACTTCAATGACAGATCTAACCACAAACTCTGCTTTCAATATAGAAAAAACCCAACAACATTTAACGATCAAGATTTTATGTTTATTCTACATCCCCTCTAACCCACCCAAACGCCTATGTCCCGGGGTGTCAATTGCGCTTGTCCTTGACACGGCGTTAACCCTACTTGTTGCTCCACAATTCGTTCTCGTCAACACGGAGACCAGTTATGACGTGTATTGTTGGACATGATTTGATAAAAAAAACAACAACCCAAAACAGAATAAAAACAAGATTTAAAAATGAGAGATTTGTATCGGGTCTTGTTGTGCAGAACATTTATCGTCCCTCTGGGATGTGAATGCACTTGGTTAAAAAAAAAATTGTATTATATGATTGTTTCCTTTCCAGCGAGGCAGAACAGTGTCACGAGCCAACGCTAAACAGTGTGAGGGAGTTCTAAGGGCATTTCGTTTTCTCTCTTCGAGCAATTTGCTATACTACAGCGACCATCCTTACTTTAATGAAAAAATAATTCATATCCCTTAGATTGAGCAATACAAGGACATGCTTGAGTTTACTTTTTGATTCGAATCAGTTGCTAGAATAAATTGTTTACCTTGTTTACCACTATTTGAACACTGTGAAATCTAGGGTTCGAGCAGTTGCGAGGGCTGACTTGTTTGACAGGGTATCAAAGTGAGACAAAGAATCAAATAGACAAGATGCCACACACGAAAAGCTGTCCCACAACAGGAACATTAACTAAACTTATTCGAGGCGGCATCACTGAGTTGTGAATGAAAACAAACCTGAATTCCTTGCTGTATGTTCACCGCCAAATAATCGAGAAAATATCCAATTTATCAATATTTATTATCACTTTAGACAAAACCTAATTTTAACTGTTAAACGTGAGATAGCAGGAATGGTCTCATCTCAAGATTTTTTAAACAGTAAATTTAACAAAGGTTGTGAAACGCAAGTAGAAGGTAAAGAAGCAGATGGCTACCTAACCGTGTGGGCATCCGGGGAAACGAGCAGGTCCTGTTTCGCTTAAGAGCTAAAGCACAGAAACATATCTACAGCGAATTTGAACCTACGTCCCTGGGCTAAAGAAAACACCCAAAGAACTAAGGCAAATAGATCGATACAAAACAACATGTACAAACAAACTCTCTAATCTACCAAACAGAAATATTTCTCTGTCTGTTTGCCTCTCTTTCACCCCGCACCCGAAAAAACAACAAAAATGCAATTAAAAAACCAAAAACAACAACAAAATGACTTTTTAAAAAACAAACAAAACCCAACAACAGCAACAACAACAACACAGCAAACCGAAATTTTAGAAACAGAAATCGGTAACAGCCTTACCAGGGAATATACTTTGCATTCTGGCACTGTCTTTAGCGTCAGTATTAAGCCTGATGCAGAAGGATATGTAGTAGAAGAAATAGTGTGCATCCCACCTCGATACGGCCACGCCCCTTGGGTCACGAACCAAATGGATGACCTTGAGGTCAGGGTCGTTGGACAGGAGCTCTTCGACCTCCCACATCTTCAGTCTCAGGATCTTTGCTACGACAGTTGGGTGCTTTCTGCAACTGTATACATGTGTTTGACAGAAGTTTTACAGCACTCGCAACTTGTGTGAGGACACGGGGAAGGGGGAGGGGTTAATATAGAGAAGAACATGGACAATGAACACCAAAAATAGCCATTTAGTGCAAGGGTAAAGTATGACGAATAGACAGAAACTGCACAGCGAAACGAAAAGTAGGAGCGCCATTCATCTTACAGCACAACATGTAGAAGGCTTTTGGCAACTTTTGAAAAGAAGATTTGACTTCTTAAGTAAATAGAGACACTTTGATAAATGTGATATGCAATAACACACGCCATGAAGATTTATAAATATATATACAAACTCACATATAAACACAGCCAAGTAGTGCATACAGATTGACACAACAGCTGACACAAAAAAACACATACGCCCAAACGAACAGGCACAAACAATCATGTCATCTGGTTTTGGGTATTCTCTCTCTCTCTCTCTCTCTCTCTCTCTCTCTCTCTCTCTCTCTCTCTCT